AACTCAAATAATAAGAGATATCAGCATGAAACTTTGTAAGAAGATAAATCTCATGGGTGAAGTGCAGTGCAAAAGACCATACCTCTTTTAAAGCCCCATTTTTTTAATTATCACCCCTTTTAGAAAACTTGTCCTGGGACATAGCTCTTAAACTATAGGAGATATCAACATTAAACTCTGTAGATAATATAGATCTTAATGAGTAGAAGTGCAGTGTGTAAGAACCGTAACTCTGCTTTGCCTAATTTTGGAGTTATTTGCCTTTGTTCATTTTTACACTTTGAACCTTTGTCCTGGAACATAACCTAAAAATTTTAAAGAACCATAACTCTTTTAAGCCCTATTTTTGAAATTATCTCCCCTTAAAAGAAAAATCTTGTCAAGGACCATAGCTCCAAAAACTAAAAACATAAGATTTGATTCCCTTAGCATAGAGCTGTTTGGTCACTTAAAACAGAAAGATATGCACAATTTATTGATATAGACCTACACGTACATTAAATGGAAATTTTTTTGGAAAGTTAAATTTCCAGTCTTGTCATGTCAAAAACCTCAGTGGGGAGTCCCTTAAACCAGAGAAGGGTCCCTTACCCTATCTAAAAAAGGGGACAAAAGTACTGAAAATAATGGTAGTTTTATAATAATAGAATGTATAGACAAACAATTACTAAATGAATTTTTCTATCCTGATCTTTTTTTCTGCAAGTAAATGATGTGTATTATTTATTCTTTTAATAGCCATAAAAATTCAGTAAAATGGGGGTTAAAAAAAAAAAATAAACACAGTATTTTAAGATCACTATGTAACCAGATATTTTTACACAATATTGAAAAAAAATACATGTACTTACACAAGTAAGACTTTAATAGATTATTTAATGGATGTATAATGAATATATCACATGGAACACTGTTTAAGAGTGAGTTTTAAAGGTGAGAGAGGTTTTTTTTCAATGTTTTTAAGGAAGAGAAGAGTTAATGGATGAAATTTGAAGCGAAGATGTTGGATGATATCTTTAACTGGTGGAATAGTTGAGGAAGGTAAAATAGATAAAATTGAAGAAGAGCATTCAGCCAAGAAGGAAGAGAAGACAATGAAGGGAAAGCTGATCATAAAGACCAAGGGTAATTAACTTTATAAAACTTTTTTTGCAACATACCTTTTAGGGGATTATATATTAGGGGCTCGGAAAACAAATGACTGGTGTATTATCAATTTTTATGTTTTACAAAAAGTTAATGCACAATAAAAGGAACTTAGAAGGGATAGGGAAATGTTAATTATTCTAATACCAACATTTCTTTTTTGCATAATTGTTAATTTTCTCAACAAACTTAACATTATTGTATCTTTTAAATACTTCACATTATTGCCATATTTAAATTGGTGCCTAATTTTTGTATATTGGATTTTGAAAAATCCCTTAAAATTGGAAGGATTGTTGTTCCAAATTAAAGCTGGAGAAATCTTATTAAACACTATTCAGCAGGTTTATGGGTTATGATGGCCTTGTATGAGTCAGTTTTCTCAGTATATTTACATTATTCTCTGTACAAGATAAACAGTGGATAATAAACTTCAGATGGAAATATTTGGGGTAAATTTTATCAGCAGTTTTACAAGGAAAATTTATCTATGGGCCTGACAGCTCAGTCCAAATATCCCTAATTTTTTTTGATGATCCAAAAAATAAGATAATTTAATTGTCAAAGTTTTCTTGTTTATTTCAAAGGTTGCTTTCTAACTGAAATGCTCTGTCTTGTTTAGAATAAGTTCAATAGTACATGTTTAAAAATTACGTTGTTAGCCCATAACCGGGGTTGTCCGTATGTCCATACTTAGTAGTCCTGAATTTGTCCGGCCCATAATTTGTTATTTGAAGTCGGATTTTACAAAACCATTTCCAGAAGTTATGATCACCATATTGAGATAACATGTGGCGAGCAACTTTTCGTTATTATTCCCCTCCGATAGATCGGGGGATATTGTTTTGGCGTTGTCCGTCCGTCTTTCCATCCGTCCGCGCACTCACAGGACAGTAATTATGTGGCAAGAGAGCAATAGGTAATGTTCTTTCTCTTTGATTCTTCATTCCGTAATGCTTTTATGTGGCTATTTTCTTTTTGTGTGGCTAAAAAGAATTAGTAGAGAACATGGAGTAGCCACATTATTACTCTCCTGGTATACCAGACGTCCTTGTCTATCCGTCTGTCCGAATTTTGTTTTTCCGGACTAGTTCTCAGCAAACTAACTGGCTGGAATTCAACGAAACTTTATGGGAATCATCAATATCAAGAGAGATGCGCATATTGTAGCTTGTTCTGGTCAGACCCTTTAACTCTTTAGATTATGGCCGCTTTATTAGTTATGGCAGTATGCATATTGAGTAAAAATCGTTTCCATGTACTTTCTCAGAAACTACTGGCTGGAAAATTCAACGAAACTTTATGGAACCTCCAATACCAAGAGGAGATGTGCATATAGATCCCCCTTGTTCCGGTAGACACTTTAACTCAGAGTTTTGGCCCTTGATTAGTTATGTAGTAATGCATATAGAGCAATATTGCTATTTCTTTGCAACTGCTGTATTGATTTCAACAAAACTTTATGGCAACCATGGATACACAAAGGCAATTCACATCTCATTGGGCATGGTCAGATATTACTATCTTACAACACAGAGTTATGGCTCTGTTTATTGCCTGAATATTTATCAAGTAAAAGAAATATTACTGTTTAGCCATGATAAATATATAAATAAAAGCCTTACATGACTTCATTTCACAGAAATGATCACCATACTTGAGATGACTTGTCGTGAGCAACATTTGGGTCGCTATCTTTAAAGGTCCCCAAGGTCACAGAATGCCTTGAGCAAAATCGGTCCGGCCCATAACTTTGTTATTTGAAGTCGGATTTTACAACTATCTCCATGAAATGATCACCATATTGAGACAATTGTCGCGCGGGCAAAATTTGGGTGCGCTACCCAGCATGTCCTTGAAGCAAAATCGTGCCCTGGCCCATAACTTTGTTGTTTGAAGTAGAATTTTCACAACTTTTTCACAGAAATGATCAAACCATATTGAGATGATGTGTCGCGCAAACATTTGGGTCCGCTACTTGAATGTCAAGATCACATGACCTTGAAGCAAAATCTTGTCCGGCCCATAACTTTGTTATTTAAGTCGTTTTTTAAACTATTTCACGAAATATCCCATATTGAGAAGATGTGTCGGCGCAAATTTATTTTTGGGTCACTCCTTGAATGTCAAGGTCACTGCAATGACCCTTGAAGTAAATCGTGTCCGGCCTTAATTCGTTATTTGAAGTCGGATTTTACAACTATTTCAAAGAAATGATCACATATTGGAGACGACATATCGCGGGCAAAGTTGGTAATAGATCTCATTGAGTAGAACTGCAGTGCAAAAACAGTAACTTTGCCTTGCTTAAATTTGGGGAATTACCACACTTTTAACGTTTGTCTTGGACATAAATTCTAAACAGCAAAAGATATACTTTTTCTGTGTCCAAAACCTAGTGGGGGGAGCATCATACCTGGTTCAACCGGCTCTTGTTATTTTTGTTGAATGGAGCTGAAATATTGATGTAAATACATGATTGAACATAACCAAGTATCGTGGTACAAAATACATGTATATGATACGGCTTTACAAACTTTCAGCATTAGAAACTGAAGATAATGGTGATATTCAAGATTTAGGACGGTTATAAAAGAGAAGCCTGTAGAGTTTGAATGTGAAGTATAGTTAATCAAATAGTAGAGATGAGTTTGGTGTTGGTGTTATCTAAATGAAGATGGTGAGAGGCTCATGAAGGTACTGTTTATGAAATAAAAATAAATATCTATATTTTTTTTATTATATTTTCTCTATAAATTTTATGGGGTATGACCACCTTTGCTGTTTTTAAAAAAGGTGTTAAAAATACACTGCAAACTGAAGCTATCTCACCTCTAGTGCAAAAACAGCAGTGCAGCATTATATAGAAGAATATATCCTTTCCAAATTTGAACTTTTGATGTTTTTATGTACAGTAGAAAAGTTTTTTTTGGTATTTGAAGTTATCTCCCTGTAGCCCAACATGAATACATAAGAGGCGGGTCAAAACAAAACCAATATAATGGTTTTTGCTACCAGCATGGATCCAGACCGCAGCCTATGCATCCACACAGTCTGATCAGCATCAACCCTATGCTGTTCACTTACAGACCCTATAACAAGTAAAGAAATGATAGCGATTGTAATACGATTTGTAAGCGAAACAGCATGGATTCTGATCAGACTGGCGGGATGCGCAGGCTGGTCTGGATCAATGCTGGTCGCAAACGCAATATGTTTGGTTTTTCATGGCGCGGCTCATATATGATTAACTTTTTGGGTATATTATACCCAAAAAACTGTTTACTTTTTCCATGTAAGGTTCAAACAAGAGAGACTGGGTAGAAGTTTAGATCGTTTGTCTAAAGATTTATAAGTAAAGATACACACTTTGTCCCTTGAATTGGTACAAAAAATGCGACGACAATAGTTAACCCTGAAACCTGCTTGACAACTCTAAAAGATGGCTGCCTTCTGTGAAATTTGTTATATGAGCAGGATGGGATTATGTGCTAAATAATGAACTTGGATTTAGGGAAAAGGATATTAGAGCTTTATGTGATGCGGGAGAAGTAAAAAGGAAAGCAAAGTTCGGATACATAGGTACAGAAAATAAATTTATTTCTGTTTAAGGAAAACTATTAAAAAAACTGACTGGAATTATGTCTTCAAATTTGATATACATGTGCATTCTAAATGCAGAAATGTTATTGACTGATATAGAATGCTGCTTAAAGTTAACAATCATTAAAGTTCTTTTGCTCAGGTTGGAGATTCCAGTTTGATTAAATATGTCCTTTTCAGTTATGTTTAAATGAATTTTTATAAATTGTTACAGTGTTTTATGCAGGCCAGAAGGGAATTGGTTTCAAAGTCTGTTTTCCGAATAACAGATTGCACCGGAAGTACACTCTAATGGTTACCATATCCGGTTTGATGTCAACAGTGGGCCTATGGGCTATATTTTACCATACTGGGTACCAGAGGAGGAGAGGATAAGTCAAGATGGGTAATTTACACTTTTCCCTAAATTTCTGATTTACATTATGAACAACTTCAATATCTACTTATTTTAGGTGTTTCTATAATTGCAATGTAATTATAAGCTATATTTAGACCCAGGGCTTTCATATTATCTTGGAAGAAAATGAATACCTGAATAACTTTAAATTGAAATGGCATGCCCCCCAAATGGGTTAATTTAATCTTAAAAATCAAACTGAAAAAGAAAAATATATTTTAAAGTTTCAATATTCAAATCAAGTTGAAAATTTTTTGAATGTTTTTATACAGAATATGACCAGACTTCTATTTTCATTACTTGTTAACTTAGTTTTATTTATACTAAAAACAGGTCCTGTAAGTGACAGTCCTTTTAGCCCTCATGTGTTAAAATATGCTGCATGTATAAATTTCTCACCCAATCATTCATTTGCTCCTCTCTCACTTGCTCTCTGATTAAAATATTTTACGTCGGCTTTCCCACCACTATATTTTCAAGAAAGCTATAAATGTAACTAAAAGTTACCTGAAGTTGATGTTATTATTAACTTGTATTGATGTTATAAATGAAGACTTGACAGGGACCCTAGAAAGCTAAAACCAACTATCATTTAGGTTACACTTCCAGACTTTAACATTTACCAGACTACATTATGTTGAGATGTTGTACTAGACTACAATATGTTGAGATGTTGTACCAGACTACAATATGTTGAGATGTTGTACTAGACTACAATATGTTGAGATGTTGTACTAGACTACAATATGTTGAGATGTTGTACATTTACTAGGCTACAATATGTTGAGATGTTGTACTAGACTACATTATGTTGAGATGTTGTACTAGACTACAATAAGTTGAGATGTTGTACTAGACTACAATATGTTGAGATGTTGTACCAGACTACAATATGTTGAGATGTTGTACTAGACTACATTATGTTGAGATGTTGTACTAGACTACAATATGTTGAGATGTTTACCAGACTACAATAAGTTGAGATGTTGTACTAGACTACAATATGTTGAGATGTTGTACCAGACTACAATATGTTGAGATGTTGTACTAGACTACAATATGTTGAGATGTTGTACCAGACTACAATATGTTTGAGATGTTGTACCAGACTACAATATGTTGAAATGTTGTACCCAGACTACAATAAGTTGAGATGTTGTACCAGACTACAATATGTTGAGATGTTGTAACTAGACTAAAATAAATTGAGATGTTGTACTAGACTACAATATGTTGAGATGTTGTACCAGACTACAATAATGTTGAGATGTTGTACTAGACTACAATATGTTGAGATGTTGTACTAGACTACAATATGTTGAGATGTTGTAAAAATAGACTACAATATTTGAGATGTTGTACTAGACTACAATATGTTGAGATGTTGTACTAGACTACAATAATTTGAGATGTTGTACTAGACTACAATATGTTGAGATGTTGTACTAGACTACAATATGGTGAGATGTTGTACTAGACTACAATATGTTGAGATGTTGTACTAGACTACAATATGTTGAGATGTTGTACTAGACTACAATATGTTGAGATGTTGTACTAGACTACAATATGGTGAGATGTTGTACTACAATATGTTGAGATGTTGTACCAGACTACAAAATGTTGAGATGTTGTACTAGACTACAATAAGTTGAGATGTTGTACCAGACTACAATATGTTGAGATGTTGTACTAGACTACAATATGTTGAGATGTTGTACTAGACTACAATATGTTGAGATGTTGTACTAGACTACAATATGTTGAGATGTTGTACTAGACTACAATATGGTGAGATGTTGTACTAGACTACAATATGGTGAGATGTTGCACTAGACTACAATATGGTGAGATGTTGTACTAGACTTACAATATGTTGAGATGTTGTACCAGACTACAATATGTTGAGATGTTGTACTAGACTACAATAAGTTGAGATGTTGTACTAGACTACAATATGTTGAGATGTTGTACTAGACTACAATAAGTTGAGATATTGTACTAGACTAACAATATGTTGAGAATGTTGTACTAGACTACAATAAGTTGAGATGTTGTACTAGACTACAATAGTTGAGATGTTGTACTAGACTACAATATGTTGAGAATGTTTGTACTAGACTACAATAAGTTGAGATGTTGTACTAGACTACAATATGTTGAGATGTTGTACCAGACTACAATATGTTGAGATGTTGTACTAGACTTACAATATGTTGAGATTGACTACAATATGTTGAGATGTTTGTACTAGACTACAATAAGTTGAGATGTTGTACTAGACTAACAATAAGTTGAGATGTTGTACTAGATTTACAATATGTTGAGATGTTGTACCAGACTACAATATGTTGAGATGTTGTACCAGACTACAATATGGTGAGATGTTGTACTAGACTACAATATGTTGAGATGTTGTACTACACTACAATATGTTGAGATGTTGTACTAGACTACAATATGTTGAGATGTTGTACTAGATTACAATAAGTTGAGATGTTGTACTAGACTACAATATGTTGAGATGTTGTACTAGATTACAATAAGTTGAGATGTTGTACTACACTACAATATGTTGAGATGTTGTACTAGACTACAATATGTTGAGATGTTGTACTAGACTACAATAAGTTGAGATGTTGTACTAGACTACAATATGTTGAGATGTTGTACCAGACTACAATAAGTTGAGATGTTGTACTAGATTACAATATGTTGAGATGTTGTACTAGACTACAATATGTTGAGATGTTGTACTAGACTACAATAAGTTGAGATGTTGTACTAGACTACAATATGTTGAGATGTTGTACCAGACTACAATATGTTGAGATGTTGTACTAGACTACAATAATTTGAGATGTTGTACTAGACTACAATAAGTTTGAGATGTTGTACTAGACTTCAATATGTTGAGATGTTGTACTAGACTTCAATATGTTGAGATGTTGTACTACACTACAATATGTTGAGATGTTTGTACTAGACTACAATATGTTGAGATGTTGTACTACACTACAATATGTTGAGATGTTGTACTAGACTACAATATGTTGAGATGTTGTACTAGTCTACAATATGTTGAGATGTTGTACTAGACTACAATATGGTGAGATGTTGTACTAGACTACAATAAGTTTTGAGATGTTGTACTAGACTACAATATGTTGAGATGTTGTACTAGACTAACAATATGTTGAGATGTTGTACTAGACTACAATATGTTGAGATGTTGTACTAGACTACAATATGTTGAGATGTTGTAACTAGACTACAATATGTTGAGATGTTGTACCAGACTACAATATGTTGAGATGTTGTACTAGACTACAATATGTTGAGATGTTGTGCTAGACTACAATATGTTGAGATGTTGTACTAGACTACAATAAGTTGAGATGTTGTACTAGACTACAATATGTTGAGATGTTGTACTAGACTTCAATATGTTGAGATGTTGTACTAGACTTCAATATGTTGAGATGTTGTACTAGACTTCAATATGTTGAGATGTTGTACTAGACTACAATATGTTGAGATGTTGTACTAGACTACAATAAGTTGAGATGTTGTACTAGACTACAATAAGTTGAGATGTTGTACTAGACTACAATATGTTGAGATGTTGTACTTTCAGATGGATGACTCATATCAATACTGAAGCTGAAACAAGACATGAGACTACACACTCGAACATTAGCTGCAAGATTTAATGACCTTCACCCTTCCTTGTTACTATTTTTACACAGGCTTCGTCAAATAACAATACAAAATAAGGTAATAATTGTTAATATCTATTTCAGAGTTTTTATGAATTTGTTGACATTAATTTCTAAATCAGCTTTATTTTGCTAATTGATTTTATTCAACTAATTAGATTAATATATACAATTTGCTATAACGTTGTGAACAAGTTTAAAAAGTTAAATAATGATACATACTATGAGTGTATAACTAACCCTTTCTATGCTGAGTTTTTGTTACTGACTTGCCCTGTTTTGAACTCAGAACTGTCCATTTGAATTTTAAGAAATTATATAACAAAATATAGATTAATATTACCATCATGTGTATAGAGCCCAGTCAGACTGCATTACCAGTAGTCATTCAAGTAAACAATTACACTGAATAATTTGTTGTTGAAAGCAAAATATAATTATCATTCAATTACTAGCATGAATAATTATTATGAGGTTAATATCTTGAAGTTAAAGATATTTTGATGAAACAAATATTGGAAAATTGAAAATTATTTTAAATGTTTTATCAAAGCTGGTAGGTCAATGCATTATGAAGCACAGAACATTAATTTTCCTTGCATTTTTTTCTTGTTAATAAAGCATTTTCTATCTTGTAGGTGGAAAATACTGTAGAAACAATTCAGCGTCGTGACATAGGGGACAATGTGGTAGAGATACAACATTCAGGAGGGTGTGATAGATGGATGGTCATTAAGAAAATCCTAGATGCCAGCAATATCTCTCTACAAACAAAATCTGGTGCTGAGGTGGAATCTACAGAAATAGCATTAGCCTTCCCCTTGAAAAATCAGTGCAGGAAAAATACTGTCCATGTATGTGTCATGACATTTTTTATCACATTCTTATTATTTCTTCTTTAGTTATGCAGGTATAAAGCTTACATGAATCTTAGATTTGGATAAGGTATTACTTACATCAATAAGGGTATAGGTAGACTTGGCATAATGGTACAAGTGCCTTCTGTTCTTAGGAAAAGTCAGGTAAAGTCTTCATTTCTGAGAGTATCTTCTACAAATATATGTCTCTTATTATCACCCACATCATTTATTTTTTTAAATATATGCAGAATTATCCCCCTTGAGCATAGAATTTTATTTAGTTTTTGTATAACTTCTCTATTTATTTAGGTATTTATCTCAAACTTCAAACTTGTTTGGAAGCATGGCCAAGTGGTTAACATGTCCTAGTCATAATCTATGCAATCTCTAGCTGTGTTGGGTTAAACTGTATCAGTGGCAAGCTGTTGTTTCCTTGAGCAACAAACTTAACAGTCATTCCTTAGTACTGGTTGATTCTAGGAACAAATTTGAGAGTGTGTCTATAAGCTTATAGGTTCCTACACAATCATAGTAAAATAAATACTGTATAAACTCAACTTCAAATATATGTTTGTTATCAACACCTACATCTTATGTGATTCGATGTATAAGGCAAGCACCTGTATTTTAAGATTTATTTCCATTTTGAAAACTTTTACTAATTTATTTGAAAAATGTTATTGTTTTTAGCTCACCTGTCACAAAGTGACAGGGTGTGCTATTGTGATCGCTTTTCGTCCGGCGTCCGTCCGTCCGGCGTCCGTCCGTAAACTTTTAATTTAAATGACATCTCCTCATAAACCACTAAGCCAATTTCATCCAAACTTCACAGGAATGTTCCTTTGGTGGTCACCTTTAAAAAGTGTTCAAAGAATTTAATTCCATGCAGAACTCTGGTTGCCATGGCAACCAAAAGAAAAAACTTTAAATATCTTCTTTTAAAAAACCCAAAGAGCTAGAGCTTAGATATTTGGCATGAAACATCTTCTAGTAAGTGTCTACCAAGTTTGTTCAAATAAAAGCCCTGGGGTTAAAATTGGCCCTTCCCCAGGGGGTCATTGATTTTCCCTATATACATATAGTAAAAACTTAAAAAATCTTTTCTTTTAAAGAACCCATGGAGCTAGAGCTAAGATATTTAGCATGAAACATCATCTAGTAAATGTCTACCAAGTTTGTTCAAATAAAAGCCCTGGGGTCAAAATTGGACCAGCCCCGGGGGTCATTGATTTTCCCTATATGCATATAGTAAAAACTTAAAAAATCTTCTTTTAAAGAACCCATAGAGCTAGAGCTAAGATATTTAGTATGAAACATCTTTTAATAAGTGTCTACCAAGTTTGTTCAAATAAAAGCCCTGGGGTCAAAATTGGCCCCGCCCCAGGGGGTCATTGATTTTCCCTATATGCATATAGTAAAAACTTAAAAAATCTTCTTTTAAAGAACCCAAAGAACTAGAGCTAAGATATTTAGCATGAAACATGTTCTAATGGGTGTCTACAAAGTTTGTTCAAATAAAAGCCCTGGGGTCAAAATTGGCCGCCCCAGGGGGTCATTGATTTTCCCTATATGCATATAGTAAAAACTTAAAAATCTTCTTTTAAAGAACCCAAAGAGCTGGAGCTAAGATATTTAGCATGAAACATGTGCTAATGGGTGTCTACAAAGTTTGTTCAAATAAAAGCCCTGGGGTCAAAATTGGCCCCGTCCCGGGGGTCATTGATTTTCCTTATATGTGTATAGCAAAAACTTAAAAAAACTTCTTTGAAAAAACCCAAATAGCTAGAGTTTAGATATTAAGCATGAAACATCTTCTAGTGAGTGTCTACAAAGTTTGTTCAAATAAAAGCCCTGGGTTCAAAATTGGCCGCCCTGGGGGTCATTGATTTTCCTTATATGTGTATGGCAAAAACTTAAAAATCTTCTTTGAAAAAACCCAAATACTAGAGTTTAGATATTAAGCATGAAACATCTTCTAGTAAGTGTCTACAAAGTTTTTTCAAATAACAGCCCTGGGGCTAAAACTGGCCCCGCCCCAGAGGTGTCATTGTTTTTAACTATATGTGTATAGTAAAAACTTAAAAATCTTCTTTTAAAAAACCCAATGAGCTAGAGGTTAGATTGCAAGAAACATCTTTTTGTGGGTGTCTACCAAGTTTGTTCAAATAAAAGCCCTTGGGTTAAAATTGGCCCTGCCAAAGGGGGGGGGGGTCATTATTTTTCATTATATGTGCGTAGTAAAAACTTAACATCAGGAAACATCCTCTAATGAGTGTCTTCCAAATTTGTTCAAATAAAAGCCCTGGAGTTTAAACTAGCCCCGCTCCGGGGGCCTAAATACAGGTGAGCGACCTCAGGGCCATCATGGCCCTCTTGTTAAAGTTTTCTTCTTTGTTACTATAATGGTATCTAAATTTAGTGGAAAACTGGAAATGTTTGATAAGAAAAGAATGGTATAGGGGGGAAGATTTTGTATAAAGTTAAGAGGTAATGAACTGCTTTGTGAAAAATTCTATGAAGTTCTAATATTTAATAATATTTAGATATACATTACTTGTGTTTTGTATGACATCTTTTATCAGATTTTGATTTAAGTCGATGAAAATTTCTATTTGTCATATTTAAATATTTTATTTTTAGATGATGCCCCCGAAGCAACCAGTATTTGCTTTCCTACCATTGAGAAGTTATGGTTTCCGTTTTATTATTCAAGGTAAAGATAACTTTATACATTTTATTTTGCAACATCCTGGATATTTTTTTATATGAATGTAAATCATCCAGAATGTCTTTAAATGTCACTGTTTTCTTACAGGCACCATAGGACACAAAATATTGCATCTGCTGCCATTTTGTAATGATAGTTGCAATGATATTATTATACCCCCACAAACAAATTTTAGGAGTCGGCTTGTTGGTCGGTGGTCATGTTTGGTCGGTCCACTTCATGTATTCCGTATGATACCTAGAGTTTGGAATGAGTTATTGTAATCAAACTAGGTATATAACAAGCTTATGAAAAGAGCTAGCTTGGGATTGTTGTTGGACCCCTTTGGGTAAAGGTCAAGGTCACTGTTATTAACAATAGAAAAATGGTTTCTGGAAGACAGGCAATTAGTTGTTATAATTACACTGATGAATCATCATAAATTATAAAAAGAGTTAATAATTTTCAGACCACTTATTTTTCAAAAAGTTAATGTTGCTGGTGGGGGTATAAATCACCGTAAGTGATAGCTTTATTTTGTTGTTAAGAGCAAGTTATACTATATGTACAACCTCTGAAGAACAACCTCCTTCCAGAGAAAATATATTTGGTTTTTGTTGAGAGGTTTTGCTCTAGAGAGGTGATATTCATTATACAGTCTTACTTTGGGAAAATTTAAGCTATTACTATAAAGAGGTAACTGTTTAGATGGTCATTGTGTCGAGGTTACAATATACCATCAAGTTGTTATGACGTTATATGTTATATTGGTAACTTTGATCAAGTCAAGAAATGTTGAGATACAGTATATTAAATGTTTTTACAGGTGACTTTGATGTACCATCAAGTCGAGAAGATGTTGACAGAGACAGTTCATGGAACCAGTGGCTACGTAATGAAATCCCTAATGTATTCCTGGAAACTCTTGATGTCTTCAAGGTATTACCATTTTTATGATTGCTGAATTATGATGATAAAAACAAATGGATAAATACCATCCCTAGTTGTGCACATCACATGGCATGTTTGGTTTCGCTGCACAAAATTGCCGCCAGAGCTCAAATTAGAAAATCTTTTCCTGACTGCTGGTGGGATTCCAATGAAACTTTACAGGAGTGATCAGTACAATCCTTAGTTGTGCATATCGCCAGCACGTTCCACTTCGGTGCACAAAATGGCCGCCGGCGCTATAAATAAAAAAATCCTGTCTGGCTTTTACAGGTCAAACTGCTGGTGGGATCACAGGAGTTATTAGTACCACACCTAGTTTTGGGAGAGACAAAAACCTCTTCTAGATATTACTTTACATGCCTTAAAGATTTTTAAATTTTAGAAAGGGCAGACATGAGTTTTATAATATCTAAATGATGGTGTTACATTCTTATCACCTGAAGAAAGCACTGAATCTGAAAATAAATGTCCTTAAAATAGAAGTATGTAAATAAAGTAGTATTTTGACTTCCATTCAAAATAATAAATTATTATTACTGTAAAATTCTAAAAAATGACCGAACAAAAGATGGTTCTTGAAATTGACCAATGAGTAACATTTTGGACCCCGATCACATTTTGGTATAATTGAATAGAAATTATTCTTAGGTGACTGTCTACCAACATTGTATAATGAGTGTCCTTTCATAAATCCTTGTACTATCTCCACCATAAACATAACTTTTGTTTATAAAAGTAAGTTTTACTTTAATAAAAAAGAGAGCCAGAGATAGATTATTCTTTTTAACTAAAATATGTCATTTATTCTGGTGAAAGAAACAGGTCTGCCTTTCAGTTATTGCTTTTTTTAGCTCACCTGTCACAAAGTGACAGGGTGAGCTTTTGTGATCACTTTTCGTCCGTCGTCCGGCCGTCGTCCGTCCGTTTGTCGTCCGTCCGTAAACTTTTACTTTAAATGACATCTCCTAATAAACCACTAAGCCAATTTCATCCAAACTTCACAGGAATGTTCCTTTGGTGGTCACCTTTAAAAATTGTTCAAAGAATTTAATTCCATGCAAAACTCTGGTTGCCATGGCAACCGAAAGAAAAAACTTTAAATATCTTCTTTTAAAAAACCATAAGAGCTAGAGCTTAGATATTTGGCATGAAACATCTTCTAGTGAGTGTCTACCAAGTTTGTTCAAATAAAAGCCCTGGGGTCAAAATTGGCCCCGCCCCGGGGGGTCATTGATTTTCCCTATATGCATATAGTAAAAACTTAAAAAATCTTCTTTTAAAGAACCCAAAGAGCTAGAGCTAAGATATTTGGCATGAAACATCTTCTAGTGAGTGTCTACCAAGTTTGTTCAAATAAAAGCCCTGGGGTCAAAATTGGCCCCGCCCCGGGGGGTCATTGATTTTCCCTATATGCATATAGTAAAAACTTAAAAAATCTTCTTTTAAAGAACTCAAAGAGCTAGAGCTTAGATATTTGGCATGAAACATCTTCTAGTGAGTGTCTACCAAGTTTGTTCAAATAAAAGCCCTGGGGTCAAAATTGGCCCCGCCCCAGGGGGTCATTGATTTTCCCTATATGCATATAGTAAAAACTTAAAAAATCTTCTTTTAAAGAACCCAAAGAGCTAGAGCTAAGATATTTAGCATGAAACATGTTCTAATGGGTGTCTACCAAGTTTGTTCAAATAAAAGCCCTGGGGTGAAAATTGGCCCCGCCCCGGGGGTCATTGATTTTCCCTATATGCATATAGTAAAAACTTAAAAATCTTCTTTTAAAGAACTCAAAGAGCTAGAGCTTAGATATTTGGCATGAAGCATCTTCTAGTGTGTGTCTACCAAGTTTGTTCAAATAAAATCCCTGGGAGTCAAAATTGGCCCCGCCCCGGGGGTCATTGATTTTCCCTATATGCATATAGTAAAAACTTAAAAAATCTTCTTTTAAAGAACCCAAAGAGCTAGAGCTAAGATATTTAGCATGAAACATGTTCTAATGGGTGTCTACCAAGTTTGTTCAAATAAAAGCCCTGGGGTGAAAATTGGCCCCACCCCGGGGGGTCATTGATTTTCCCTATATGCATATAGTAAAAACTTAAAAAATCTTCTTTTAAAGAACTCAAAGAGCTATGGCTAAGATATTGAGCATCAAACATGTTCTAATAGGTGTCTACCAAGTTTGTTCAAATACAAGCCCAGGGGTCAAAATTGGCCCCGCCCCGGGGGTCATTGATTTTCTTTATATGTGTTTAGCAAAAACTTTAAATCTTCTTTGAAAAAACCCAAATAGCTAGAGTTTAGATATTAAGCATGAAACATCTTCTAGTAAGTGTCTACAAAGTTTGTTCAAATAAAAGCCCTGGGGTCAAAACTGGCCCGGCCCCAGGGGTGTCATTGTTTTTTAACTATATGTGTATAGTAAAAACTTTAAAAAAATCTTCTTTTAAAAAGCCCAATGAGCTAGAGCATATATGTTTAGCATGAAACATCTTCTTATGGGTGTCTACCAAGTTTTTGCAAATAAAAGCCCTTGGGTTAAATTGGCTCTGCAACGTTTGGGGGGGGGTGGGGGTTGGGGGGGGGCTATATACAGGTGAGCGACCTCAGGGCCATCATGGCCCTCTTGTCTTTGTTGTTAAGTATCAACACTGTCAATGTTAAATGCTGATTCTGTCAATGTCAGATGATCACAGGTTTTTATCAGACTTTTGATTGTGCCTGAATGGAGGAGAACCAGAGGTGAACCACTGACATTGACCTTGAAGTGTTAGTCTGATCATTTCCTCAAATGAGAGAAACAAAGTTCCCTTCTGAAGGTTGAACCTTAAGATATAAGAAGGAAGTGATTTAAAGTTAATGACACTATTACCAGAGATGATTTAACCTATAGAAGTTCAATTTTATGTTTTAGACACATTCTGAGTTCAGCAGTATGGAAGCAGTATGTACATTCCTGCAGTTTGTACCTATGGAAGATGAAGTTCTAGAATTCTTTAAACCTGTAGCTTCTGATATACTGAAGAAGCTTAAAGCTAAACCTTGTATTCCTACACTGGCAGAAAAACAAGGTATGCTCACCACAAAAAAATGTGTAATTCTGAGGAATAAAGAAAATGTTTTCTTTGTCTGCAGTTTATGTTACAAGATTATATAACACTAGCACTGTCATAAGTTTGTGGTTCTTGATGAAATGTACATGTTACACAAATATTTACCAACTTCTTCACAAAATATTGTGTACATATTTTTCTACAAAATTTACTTAAAGACGTTTTCGGGAGTTTTCATATAGGCAAAATTAAAACAGTTCAATAGAATTTCTTTAAACTTGGCATGTTGTTATGCTCCCCGAAAATTTTCGGGGGAGCATATAGTCGTCGGGTCGTCCGTCCGACCGTACGTACGTCCCTAATTCGTGTCCGGCCCATAACTTTGTTATTTGAAGTCGGATTTTAAAACTATTTCACAGAAATGATCAAAATATTGAGACGACGTGTAGCGCGCAACATTTGGCTTGCTACCGTCAAGGTCACAGCATGACCTTGCAGCAAAATCGTGTCAGGTCCATAACTTCATTATTTGAAGTCTGATTTTAAAAATATTTCACAGAAATGATCACCATATTAAGACGACGTGTCATGCACAACATTTGGGTCGCTACCTTGAAGGTCAAGGTCACAGCATGACCTTGCAGCAAAATCGTGTCCGGCCCATAACTTTGTTATTTGAAGTCAGATTTTAAAACTTTTTCACAGAAATGATCACCATATTCAGATGACGTGTCGCACGCAACATTTGGGTCGCTACCTTGAAGGTCAAGGTCACAGCATGACCTTGCAGCAAAATCGTGTCCGGCCCATAACTTCATTATTTGAAGTCGGATTTTACAACTATTTCACAGAAATGATCACCATATTGAGACAATGTGTCGTGCGCAACATTTGGGTCGCTACCTTGAAGGTCAAGGTCACAGCATGACCTTGCAGCAAAATCGTGTCCGGCCCATAACTTTGTTACTTGAAGTCGGTTTTAACAACTATTTCACAGAGATGATCACCATATTAAATCGACGTGTGGTATGCAACATTTGGGTTGCTACCTTGAAGGTCAAGGTCACAGCATGACCTTGCAGCAAAATCATGTCGGGCCCATAACTCCGTTATTTGAAGTTGGATTTTACAACTATTTCACAAAAATGATCACCATATTGAGAAAATGTGTCGTGCACAACATTTGGGTTATTTTTACACTTTGAACTTTGTCTGTGACATAACTCTGACCCTACAAGAGGTATACCTTCCTGTGTCCAAAACCTATTCAGGGAGCATCACCTGGTTCAACCGGCTCTTGTTAGAATATGATATTAGGTAACAGAAACATTTTAAGCAAAAAAAAATTGGGATCACCGTTCTCATTTTTGAGTTATCTGTCCTTGAATTGGACTTTTGTTAAATTCAAGGGCAGATAATTTACAATGAATGGAAACAAAACAATTTTTTCTTCTTATTTTCATGAAGCTGACCTTCATTTTAGTTGATATGCAAAATTTCAAGAACAAATTTCGAGTTGGTAGTTTTTATTCCCACTTCTTCTTTTAATTCTTTTTTAAGAATTTAAAGTACCTTTATTTTCATTGAAAAAATTTAACAGAAACGATGTAAGGAATTGCATGTTATTATGTATTGTACTCAACAATAAAAAGAAAAACATAATCCAGAAGTAAAAACAAGAATTCATTTAAGTATGTATAAGTTATCTGCCCTTGAAATGACCTCAAATAAGTAGAAAAGTCTGATTCAGGGGCAGATAACTCAAAAACGAGAACGGTGACCCCAATTTTTTTTCGCTTAAAATGTTTCTGTTATCATATTCTAACAACATGCCAAGTTTAAAGAAATTCTATTGAACAGTTTTAATTTTGCCTATATGTCTATATGAAAACTCCCGAAAACGTCCTTAAATCAGCTGGTTAGTGAAGAAAAGCCGTAAGTCATTCATTAGAATATAAGTTTGCAGACTGTTATATATTACTTTTTTAATGATAAATATTGCGAGTAAAGTATCTACTTGCATGTTGTTTTTATGTATTGAATGTTTATATATAATGTTTCTACATGTATGGAAATACTTTTTATGTACATTGAAATATGAATGTATATTTAAAGTATCTACATGTATGTTGTTTTTATGTTTATTGGATGTTTATTTAATATATCTTACATTTTTCAAGGACCAGTAAGCTGGAAGATACCATCACAGACAGTAAAAGTTCGGGACCCGCTGGTACGCAGTGTGATCACATCGGACCTTCTGGAGAAACACCTTAATCTGTTTTACCTACATCCAGACATTGCCACAGTGTTGAACCCAGCATTGACGTCCTGTCTTGGTATTGAAAACTTAACATCTGACCATTTATTCCAGCTTGGTAAAGCTTTGATTGTGAACATGGGCACACACTGCAGTAAGTATTACAACATTTAATATTGTCTTAACATGTTTCTTAGCAATTTATTTTGTTTTACTGCCATTAATATATTGTTATGAGTTGATTACATTTTTCATTGGTGATAATGGTCATTGTTCGTTGTTTTGATAATATCATGTAAAATATTATGTGAGAAAGAATCAATTCATATAGTAGACTTTCTCATTCAACACATGCCAGATATGTGATAAAACTTACCAAAGGCTCACTTTATAATTTTGCTCCTGTTAGTTACTATAAAGCTTTATAACATGTAAGATATTTTATATCTCATTAATAATGTTAATATATGTAATGTGTTAATTCATGTTATTGATGTGTTATTATGTCATGTGTTATTATACTTATATCATAGATGTGTTATAATATGTTATTGATGTGTTATTATGTCATGTGTTATTATGTTATTGATGTGTTATTATGTCATGTGTTATTATATCATTGATGTGTTAGTGTTAAAATATGTTATTGATGTGTTATTATGTCATGTGTTATTATACTTATATCATTGATGTGTTATAATATGTTATTGATGTGTTATTATGTCATGTGTTATTATGTTATTGATGTGTTATTATGTCATGTGTTATTATACTTATATCATTGATGTGTTATAATATGTTATTGATGTGTTATTATGTCATGTGTTATTATATCATTGATGTGTTATGTCATGATATGTTATCAATTATATATTATTACAGATAAGGATGAAGATGTGATACTAATATCTAAATGGATGGCTTGTTTATATCGTAGCCTTGATGAATTTCATCATGATGATACTATTCTACCTACACTGAAAGTACATCCTTTCTTACCACTGTCTGACGGAGAGCTCGTCTCCCTGCAGGAAAAAACAGTATTTTATCCTATACCCAATTTGAGAACAAAAAAACAGAAAGGAAAAGGTAGTTATGATATTTTATAAGTTCAACCTAAATATGATTACAGCTAAACTTGATTGTCAGCTTTTGTGTAATACTGCACAAACAAATTACTTGCATAATATTATCTGGTTCTTTATTCATGCTACAATCCTGTCTTGTAGAGGAAAATGCAAGTGCTCAATATATTATTGTATACACGTATACTATTCAGGTTTTAAGATATTTTTATTTATAAGACACAACATTCTCCTTTATTCTCCTGATTTTGTAAAAGTTGATTTTAAGAGGCACTTATACTCTTTGTTAGAGGTAAGTATAGTACAGCTCTGCATTTGTTCTTTTATTTTCATAATCATATAAATGCTTTTGTATAATTATTTTATTTTCAGACCCCATGTATTATCTACAGCAAGATGTGAGCAGTCTACATCCATTGTTATTAGATACTGGTGATGCCGAGGTGAACAGTCAGGTTCACAAACTCTTGTTGAGACTTGGTGTAAAGCAGTTATCTCCCTCTGATGTTATCAACCATCATATTATACCTGTGTTAAAATATGACAATTGGAAGGTATAATGATTAGTTATACTGTTTGGTTTGTTTGGCCAGTAATAAAGCTAACATTGTGTGGACATATTGTTTGTGCCATGCTTTCCATGTGCTAGTGAGATTTCATTTGACAGTTACATTTAGATAATAAAACTACCAGGGTCATCACTACATTAAGCTGTTTTTAGCTCACCTGTCACAAAGTGACAGGGTGAGCTTTTGTGATCTCTTTTCGTCTGTCGTCCGTCCGTCGTCCGTCGTCCGTAAACTTTTACTTTAAATGACATCTCCTCATAAACCACTAAGCCAATTTCATCCAAACTTCACAGGAATGTTCCTTTGGTGGTCACCTTTGAAAATTGTTCAAAGAATTTAATTCCATGCAGAATTCTGCTTGCCATGGCAACCAAAAGAAAAAACTTAAAATATCTTCTTCTAAAAAACCCAAAGAGCTAGAGCTTAGATTTTTGATACGAAACATCTGGTGAGTGTCTACCAAGTTTGTTCAAATAAAAGCCCTTGGGTCAAAATTGGCCCCGCCCCAGGGGGTCATTGATTTTCCCTATATGCATATAGTAAAAACTTAAAAAAATCTTCTTTTAAAGAACCCAAAGAGCTAGAGCTAAGATATTTAGCATGAAACATCTTCTAATGGGTGTCTACCAAGTTTGTTCAAATAAAAGCCCTTGGGTCAAAATTGGCCCCGCCCCAGGGGGTCATTGATTTTCCCTATATGCATATAGTAAAAACTTAAAAAATCTTCTTTTAAAGAACCAAAAGAGCTAGAGCTAAGATATTTAGCATGAAACATCTTCTAATGGATGTCTACCAAGTTTGTTCAAATAAAAGCCCTGGGGTCAAAATTGGCCCCGCCCCAGGGGGTCATTGATTTTCCCTATATACATATAGTAAAAACTTAAAAAAATCTTCTTTTAAAGAACCAAAAGAGCTAGAGCTAAGATATTTAGCATGAAACATCTTCTAATGGATGTCTACCAAGTTTGTTCAAATAAAAGCCCTGGGGTCAAAGTTGACCCCACCCCAGGGGGTCATTGATTTTCCATATATACATATAGTAAAATCTTAAAAAATCTTCTTTTAAAGAACCCAAAGAGCTAGAGCTAAGATATTTAGCATGAAACATCTTCTAATGGGTGTCACCAAGTTTGTTCAAAGAAAAGCCCTGGGGTCAAAATTTGCCCGGCCCTGGGGGTCATTGATTTTCCAAATTTCCTTATGTGTGTATAGGAAAAAATTAAAAAAATCTTCTTTGGAAAAAACCAAATAGCTAGAGTTTAGATTTTAAGCATGAAACATCTTAGTGAAATCATCTAGTGATTGTCTACAAAGTTTGTTCAAATAAAAGCCCTGGGGTCAAAATTGGCCCCACCCCGGAGGTCATTCATTTTCCCTATATGTGTAAAACTATAGCAAAAATTGAAAAATCTTCTTTGAAAAAACTCAAATATCTAGAGTTTAGATATTAAGCACGAAGCATCTTCTAGTGAGTGTCTTCAAAGTTTGTTCAAATAAAAGCCCTGGAGTCAAAATTGGCCCCGCCCCGGGGGTTATTGATTTTCCTTATACGAGTATAGCAAAAACTTAAAAATCTTCTTTGAAAAAACCCGAATAGCTAGAGTTTAGATATTAAGCATGAAACATTTTCTAGTAAGTGTCTACAAAGATTGTTCAAATAAAAGCCCTGGGGTCAAGACTGGCCCTGCCCCAGGTGTGTCATTGTTTTTAACTATATGTGTAAAGAAAAATCTTAAATAAATCTTCTTTTAAAAATCCCAACGAGCTAGACCTTAGATGTTTAGCATGAAACATCTTCTAATGGTTGTCTACAAAGTTTGTTCAAATTAAAGCCCCGGGCTTTAAACTGGCCCCGCTCCGGGGGCCTATGTACAAGTGAGCGACTTCAGGGCCATCATGGCCCTCTTGTTACATTCTGCCCTGAGTCATGCATATTAAAAAAACATGCTTACATGGTCACAAGAAATTTGTTATTGCATGTTTTCTTCTCTGTTAATGTATACCTGTGTGAGCAGTTTTTATGCAAGATTAACTGTTAATTGGCAGGTCATTTAGTCAGTAATATGGATACAATTACAATAGTCACTTTTATGGTCACCATATAAACATTAGAGTGTTGAAGTGACTTAAACCTTTACCAATCTGATAGCACTAATATATACTTTTCAACAAGTAATTCCTACATTCTCCTCATAAATCATTTCAAACATTAATGGAGGAGGAATTGTAATTAAAGAAAAACACAAAATGATCCAAGGATTTAAACTTGCAGACCAAGTCCATATACCTAATGTACTACCATAACAAAGCTAAGTGGTAGGTCACGATGGTTTTTTGACAATATTCAAAACTTCAAACAACTCTGTTCAATTAATGAATTGATTGCTAAAATTTTATATGTTATTGGTTATAAAGTTTATTTACAGGTTATATGTCCCAGTATAGAAAGATTGTAATCTTCAATGATCTGAACAAATATTTTATTTTTCATGGCCATATATCAGAACAGAACAAATGTTTTATTTTAGACTTGTACATATAACATTACCATGCAAATAGATAAAAATAACAATTATCATGTCACATGGTCATGATAACAAAAAATAAAATATGATACTTAATCAGATAATAGAAAATATATCTGTTTATAAAGTGAATGTTAAGATATGATATTAGATAATAAAATATTTTCTAAAACATAATCTGTCAAAAACTTCTCTTTGACAAATGATAGAATCTTTAAGTGGTCATTAGTTGTTATTTTCTGTTGGAAAATCTATTCTGTTTTGTTTCAAACTAATTATTTCAGTAATTTTATCTTGGAAAAGTGCATAGTATTACTGTTAAGCCTTCTTCAAAACAGCATCCTGAGAGCTTGTTTATACATGTCAGTGTCATTTCTATAAATAGAAGATCAGGCAACAAATGGTCTGCTTTCCTTATTTAAATATCAAGAGCTTATTGTTTATGTATTTTGTTATCGACAATTCTCATTTTCCACCTTAATTCTTTTGATTTGATAATAATATTAAACGATATCAAAAAATAACATATATAACCTTTAGAAAAGCTGAAGGCCACATATATAAATAATGTATTCTTTAAACAATAACAGAATCTTGACAACAGAATCTTAGTTAATAGCAAGATCTTGTCATACAACAAAACGTTGATAAATAACAGATATTTAAACTATAAACAGGGTAATGACTAAGAAAATGTTTTTATTTGTTTCTTATTTAGAAGAAAAAGAAGGAGACTTTAGTGTCCTATATGATTTACATCAAAGAACAAAGTGACAAGCAGGCATCAGTATGTAACTTAGATGAAGTCAAGAATATAGCTGTAGTTTTGACAAATGATGGATTCAAAAATCCCTCTGACGAACCAGTGCAGTTTCCAACAGAGTATGGGAATGCAGTCAATTTGCAAGAAGTCTTTAAAGGTACATACAATTTTGTTGACTAATTCTACAGCAGTGGCTTTGTAACAGCAATTACATGTATTTTGTGAGTCAAATTATGGTTGAACTTGTATTTGCCCTGTCTGTTGTTCTACATCTTAATCTCTATGATGATATTGCCGTTCAACATCTGTAGTACCATTTAACTCATCATAATTTGTCCTTATACTTCATTAGAAAGAACACCCTTATTGAAAAAAAAAGAATTTTGTCTCATTGGCAGTATGTCAGTGGTCATGATGAAAATACTTAGAAAAAGAAGACTTTATTCAACTTTATAGGCAATTCTCTGCCTGAACTGATTTTTCTTATTATTTCAGCTTATTAACTTGACTGCCTCTGTCCACAGTCGTATTACTTCATTATTTTGGTTGACCATTATTGACCACAAAATAATAAGGGGTCACTTTGTCAAGATTACCATGACTTAAGCTTTGAATATCCATTTGGGGTCAATAATTTGAATTTTATTTGACCTTTGGCCTTCAAACTCCATACGATTGTTGCCCAAACTAACTTGATTGGTCACTTTTTACCCTAAAAACAGTTTCTTCTGAGTAACTTTAAATGTGTTCATCTTAAAAAAATCTTATGTTTTTTGCTATTCTTAGCCTGATTTGAGTGAAAATTTTGGGTCTTTTTCACAATTAAAATAATCATCATAGAATAACAGAGTGAGTGAATGATCTGAAATTTAATTTTGTACACAGGTTAATGGGATAGACCTTCATCAAATTGATCAATAATTTCAAAAAAAATATTTCCAGTCCCATTATGTCAAAAATATCTCAGTGGAGTCCCTTTAAGGGGTAGGGAAGATTTCACTTCTTATGAGACATTTTTATCCTGAGATATTGCCTAATCATTTTGCATCATCAGCCTCTGCTTCTTCAATGTCATTGTCACCATGCTGTAAAATCAACATACTTGTATTTAAGGACACCATGCTGTATAATCTACATACTTGTATTTTAGGACTCCATGCTATATAATCTACATACATGTATTTAAGGACACCATGCTGTATAATCTACATACATGTATTTTAGGAAACCATGCTATATAATCTACATAATTGTATTTTAGGACACCATGCTATATAATCTACATACATTTATTTTAGGACACCATGCTGTATAATCTACATACTTGTATTTAAGGACACCATGCTATATAATCTACATACTTGTATTTTAGGACACCATGCTGTATAATATACATACATGTACAAATGTATTTTAGGACACCATGCTATATAATCTACATACATGTATTTTAGGACTCCATGCTATATAATCTACATACTTGAATTTTAGGACACCATGCTGTATAATCTACATACATGTATTTTAGGACACCATGCTATAATCTACATACATGTATTTTAGGACTCCATGCTATATATTATACATACATGTGTTATAGGAACCATGCTATATAATCTACATACATATATTTTATGACACCATGCTATTTAATCTACATACTTGTATTTTAGGACACCATGCTATATAATCTCCATACATGTATTTTAGGACACCATGCTGTATAATCTATATACTTGTATTTTAGGACACCATTCTATATAATCTACATACATGTATTTCAGGACACCATGCTATATAATCTACATACTTGTATTTTAGGACACCATGCTGTATAATCTACATACATTGCTATATAATCTACATACATGCATTTTAGGACACCATGCTATATAATCTACATACTTGTATTTTAGGGCACCATGCTATATAATCTACATACATGTATTTCAGGACACCATGCTATATAATCTACATACTTGTATTTTAGGACACCATGCTGTATAATCTACATACATTACTATATAATCTACATACATGCATTTTAGGACACCATGCTATATAATCTACATACTTGTATTTTAAAACACCATGCTATATAATCTACATACATGTATTTTAGGACATAATGCTGTAAAGTGATCTTCTACATAATCATTTATGTATTATAGGACACAATGCTATAAAGTGATCTTATATATAATCTGTATACATGTATTTTAGGATATGACTGGACTCTACTGGATACTTGCTACTTACCTCAGACATGTACAAGACCCACACTCATTAGTTGGCAGGAATTCTTCAGGAAACTTGGAGTAGAAGATTTCCTGTCCATCAGAAAGAAAGATGTACACTTAAAAAAAGATGAATTGGTTTGTTACTTTTAGTTTAATTTGTTAAGAAGCATAGAAAAGTTGTTTGATTTTTGAGTTTATGAGAATAATCATATAAGCCAGTGTTTAAATCATTCTGTCTCAGTTCTTCACCAGTAGTATCTTAATGTCTGACATCAATGTTAGTTATCAAGACATTTAATGTTTCAGGAGGGTAGTTATTGGAGTATAAGCAGTTCTGTATGGCCACAAGATGAAGAAGTATATATTGTACAAGATTACTACAGTGCTGAACTAGAGGCTCTTATTAGAAATAATAAATACCCAAGTGGACAACACTTTGAGAAACAGATGCAAAACTTATGTATGCTCTTGGATAGAAATTGGGACACTGGCTTCTCAAAATATTGTAAAACACATGTGGTTGATAAAGATGGGAAATTCCTAAAAGAAACTGATACATCATTTAGTATATTGTTACAAACCTCCAAATGGCTGCCAGCAGAGGAAACAGAAATTACTGATATTGATGGATATCTGAAGCATGAAGTTAGAGTTGTGATGAAGGAACCAAAGAGTTTGTATTTACCCTCAAACAAAGTTCAGAGTTTGTTATCTGATAAAGTGCTTTACTTGGCTGTTAACCTCACAGCTGGCACGTTCTGTCAGTTTCTTGGTCTGAAAAATTCTGTTACTTTGGAAAGTGTTAAGTCTTATTTGTTACAGTGGTGTAAAAGAAAAAAGGACAACGTATCAGCTACATTTTATACATCATTAGAACATATGAAGATGGTTTACACATACCTTGGAGAAGAATTAAGGAAGCAGGAGTTACAAGATTTGTTACGTGTTAATCCTGTATTTTTTGTTCCTATCAACTCCGGATACTACAACCCAGATGAAGTTGTTAAAGGGAAAATGTTAAACAGGAATGAAATATGGCTGATGGACAAGTCTGGATTGTTTGATAAGCATAGGAACCTGTTAGAAGAGTACCATTCTGATATTGCTCATAAAAGAACTATATTTGGTTTCTATAACGACAGACCGAATATTATAGAACTTTTCAAGCAAGAAGGTAAAGTTGATACACAGCCAAGGGTTGAGGAATTTATTGAATTACTATGTCTCCTTTGCAACACATCCTCTCCGAAGGATGCCAGAGTGTTACTTGATGTATTGAACATCTTCTCTACCATTGGTCAAGCTCTTTGTACATCTCCTGAAGGTATGCCAGATGAAAGAACAGCAAATATGGCATTGGAAACCTTGAAGAGAACTGTAATAAAGAAGCTTCATAGAGAAAAGGTAGTAAAGATGAATTCTTTCACATGTTAAACAAATAAAAACAGTTTTCAAATTCGAGCAGTTAACTTTGCAGGAAATAATTCAAAGAAAATATGTGTACCTTTTTTAGGTTAATAGCCATGTATTTATTATTAACTAAAGATAAAAAGTAGATCAAATATGCTTGATTGACAAATTTACGCTTTATTCAGGATAATTGAATGATAAATAAAGGCTTTAAGATCATTTCATCACTTATTCCTCATGACTGTAATATTGATTCCTGGGCTATTCAGTGTGGCATATCTACTTGTGGCTGAGTTTTGAGGTTTTCATCCTCCAGCAAAGTTGAAAAGTTGCCTTGGGACTTTAAATGTGTTGAAATGACTAGAAAAAGATGCAATTTCAACATTAAAATACCAATTATCTTCATCCCACCTTTGACTATTACAGGTATTTCCAACAACAAAACAGACCTGGGTAAGTCTGGAAGATCATCCTATGATACCTGATAATAGGGAATGGGAAAAAATGTTTGCTGAAAAGGAGGGGGTTCATTTCCTTGATATGGAAGACAAGTCAAACAAAGTTTCACGATCAGTTAGAGGTGGTGTTGGTAACCGAGGACAAAGAAGCAAAAGTAAATATTTAGTACATGTATATTAAAATTAACTATTGAAATATGCTTTATTTGTTGTAGCCCTGTTGATGTGGTGTGTGTGATCAATTTTGTTAAACTACTAATGCTATCAAGTTATAATATGTCCTTTAAACTACTGTATTGTTTCATTCATTAAACTAGAGAGTTTATACACACAATTTTTTACATGATCATCATTTTCATACACATGTATATAAGAATTACATTTACCACTAAATGTCCTTGACAGTTACGGCCAGATGGATATAATTTTTGGAGAAGCTTTATGTGTTTATTTTTTTTCAGATATAGAGAGTCGTGTTAATCTAGAGATGATAAACAAGGTGATTGACATCTGTGGAATCCGCAAGCTTAGTGAGTGTGTAGATATAAGACCAGTACCAGAAATGATAGAGCCTTGCTTGGAACTCCAGGCATATTTTTGTAAGATTGTGCCTTCCGTACAAAAATATCTGATTGCAGGATATGAGGATGTTTATCATCAATTAGAAAATATCAATACAAAAGAAATGTTGGCAGATGCAAAATTTTATCAGGTTTGTCTTCTTATTTAGACAATATGAAAGTGGAAATTAAATGAAACTTGTCCAAATAGTTACAAATTTTTCAAAGTTTTAAAGTATATTACCGGTAACATGTGAACTTTCTTCTTTTATTTTAAAATTTTGAAAAATTTTGTAAATTCTTATGGAAATAAAGAGAGAAAAAACATTAGAAAGAACCAAAGGGCATTAATGAATTTTTAGGGCAAAGCTTTTAAGTTGTATTGCTTTAATTTAAAAAAGGTTTAAACTGAAACTGTTTAAACTTCACAAACAATTCAAATTTCACAGCAAAACGGGTATTGCTTATAATTAATCTTGTAAAAGCTTCATATATTATAAAGTTTTATCACATACCTGTTCCACTTTTATGCCTCTATGAAAATGGTATTACACAGCAGTGTATATATTTTGACTTGACGTCATTTGCTTTATACAAACATAGTGTTAAGAAGCATTAAATTTTAGCATTATATTATAGGCACATCATTGAAAAATGGTTCTTTTTCACTTCAAACTAACTTAATTATTGGTATGTGATAAATAGAATATTAAGTTCATGTTAGTTCATTTCTGAATTAATTAAACTCATTTAATAAAATGATATAATAATGATATCTTTTTTTAACTCGTTCAATAAATCCAGTATTAAACTTACACTCATTCAATATCCTCTATGTATTTATTATAAATTAATACATTAATTAATGTTTATTGTGAATTAATGTAAAAATCTATTAAATTGTTATTTATGTTAAGACTGGTAAACTAGAGGTCAGCTACAGGCTCAACAACAATCTGCCCAAAGAAACATTCATAATCAAAAGTGAAAAATGCGTGATACATCCACCAGAGTTTTATTTTCATCGAGATCATCTAAATGCTTTAGCCGAAATTAACAGAGAAATTGCAAGGTACTTCAGTAGAGGACACACAGACTGTAGTAGGTCACTAAGGTACACTTATATTTATATATATTCTAGTAGAAAATGATAATCCAACAGCAAATATATAACAGGTTGAGTTTTAATGAAGTCATACTGACTTTTTATATCTTATTTAGGGTCATACATGGTATATTGTCCAAGTATTTCTGAATTGTCCCAGATTATGACCCAGAGATCAATCTGTCAGTTAGACACCCTGTCATTTTGGTAAATTATCACGATGCTTTCATATATATACTGGAGGGATCTTTCTATACATTAAGTGCAGTGTAACAACTTAAAAATTTTGTATATACTTCATCTTAGATTTGTAGAATTTTTTCCAGTTGCACAGTATTTATATGTGACCATGATCTTTAATAGACCTTGACCATCAAGGCCAAATTAATGAAATTCTCTTTTTTTTTCTTATAACTGGCTATAACCTTTTTATTTGTAAATGGATTAACTTTATATTTAGACGCAACATCCTTTTGTTAAAACTTCATGTTTTGTGAAACTCAAATTGACCTTGACCCATGTATGACTTTGACTTTGACCTACACTGATTTTTGCTGTATTTGGCTTTATTAACCAATTTTTAGCTCGACTTTTCTATGAAAAGGGGAGCTATCCTACTCGCCCCGGCGTCGGCGTTGGCGTCGGCGTTGGCGTCACACCTTGGTTAAGTTTTCCTGTACACCAACTTTTCATTTAAAGTATTTACAAGTAATGGCTTTTTCAAAAATTTAAATTGTTCACATTCTTATAATCACATCTAAAAAACAGGAAGATTTTTACAAACTCTGTCAAGTTTTTGATTTAGAATTAAATGACTGTTTCTTCAAAAACATCTTCACGAAAACTTTTGCTATTTTGAAAGCCATTGGTTAAAGTTTTATTCACCAACCTCCACTTTATGCTCAAAAAACCAATGATTGATTGGTATTTGCTTTATAAACTGGAAACATTAAATTGTTTACATCACTGATCCTTTTCATCAAACAACAATAGAGGAATAAAAATATTGTTCATGGTTATTACTGAATTAAATTCCTCTTTTTGATATAATATGATATCTTTTTTTACTCGTAATAATCCATATTACTTACCTCATTCAATACCCTTTGGTTTATTATTAACATTAATAACATTTTAATGTTATTTGAATTAATGTAAATCTATTAAATTTATCTATTTTAAAATGGTAAACAAGAGTCATACGGTCAACAAAATCTGCCCAAGAATTCATAATAAAATTAAAGGCCCCTTTTATTTCACGGACTTAAATCTTTGCGTTAAAGTTTATTCAGAAACCAAGACTGTTTTGGACTAGACACTGTTTAGATATTATTATGAAAGTTCGGAACAGCTTTACAATCATTGATTTCCAAAACATGTTTTCAGGAGAAGGTATTCTGTCCAAGATTTTATTTGTAGATTATGCCCATTAACTGTCAGTTTTGTATTTTAAAGCAAGCTCTATAAAAGACTTAACAAATCTAAAAAAAATTTATGTATATACTTCATTGTTCGATTACTAAATTATGTTCACATAAATTATTGTGAATATTTTAATGGCCGTAATCAACAATATGATTCTCTTTAAAAATAACAGAAGATTCTTGTATTTTTAACGCAAACATCTTTTTTAAAATTAAAGTTTGAAAAAATGCTTGACCAGATGGACTTGCTTTGCTACGACAGCTTCCTTTTTCTTCATACTTTGGACAATTCCTTCTTAAAGGTTGAACTGACCTTGAGTTTAAATGACCTTGATCATCAAGATCAAATTATTTAATTTTGGTTAAGTTGTGATAATTTTGTTGTTTATGAACAAATTTAATTCATATGTGGACAAAACAACACTTTTGACCAAACAGACATTTTGAATAATTTAGATATGACGTTTAAATGACCTTAATTATCAAGGTCAAATAAATTAATTGAACTTTGCTTATATTTTGTGTCGCCTTGAAAAGGTGACATAATTTATAGGGGTTACTTTTGACAGCGGTGTCGTTGTCGGCGTCCCCCAAAGCTTGTCCGGAGCATAACTCAGTCACTATAAGTCGGATTGACTTCAAACTTGGTATACATGCTTCTTTCAATAACCCGAAGTGCAGTGCCCAAGGACCCCTATTCTGCTTTTCTTAATTTTTGAGTTATTGGCCTTTGTAAATTTTCATACTTTTATTTTGTCTGGGCCATTTCTCTTCAACTATAAAAGCTATGGACTTGAAACTTCATAGGATAATAGATCTAATTAAGAAGAAGTGCAGTGCACAAGAACTGGTACTCTGCACTTCCTATTTTTGAGTTTTTTTTGTCCAGGTCATTTGTCCTCAAGTATGAAAGCTATGGACATGAAACTTCATAGGATGATATATCTCATTAAGAAAAAGTGCAGTGTACAAGAACTGGTACTCTGCATTTCTTATTTTTGAGTTATTACCCTTTATTAATTTTCATACTTTATTTTTGTCCAGGCCATTTCTCATAAATTATAAAAGCTATGGACTTGAAACTTCATAAAATGATAGATCTTATTGATAAGAAGTGCAGTGCACAGAAACTGCTGCTCTGCACTTATTATTTTTTGAGTAATTGCCCTTTGTTATTTTTCATATTTCATTTTTGTTCTGGCCATTTCTCCTAAACTATATTGTTCACAAGGCGACTCAATCGACTCGCGGAGTTTTAGTTTTTAACTTAGTGATTTCATTTTGGAAATTATTCATGCTTGCACAAAAAAGTATGACTAGACAGACCTATTAAAGTTTAAAAATAAAAGAAAAACTAAATTTTCTTTAAGATTTGTTTAAATCATTTATTTGTGTGCTTTTAGAAAAACTAAATAAAAAAGTATAGTGTTGCCCTGCTCAGCAGTGGCTCTTGTTAAGCAATGTTCACAACTATTACAGATGTTAAAGAATAGATTATTTTTAAATGAATTAGAACTGTTTGGTTTTCATAAAAAGAAGTGTGTTGGTTTTCATAAAAAGAAGTGTCTGAGAACGAATGTCCCAAGATTGTCCCTGGGAAAAGATCTGGTTGCATAGTTGTGGTAAAAATGCCACAACTGAACACAATTCTGGTGATGATAAATAACGAACAGTTTTGAGGAGCATCCATTTTCATTAGAGATATGTTTTGTTGTTTGTTTATGAGTGCAGTCACATATTTCTCTTCAGATCTTTCCTGTCAGAATTGTCATGTATAGTGTCTGGTGAAACAGATGATGATGTGGACGAGCTTCTACAGAGATATGATGTTGATGACTTAGATATAGCTGAAGAAGAATTATGGATGGTTGAAGCTCCTGTTCTCCCAGGACTTGATACACCAGAAGAGGCAGAAGAAGGTAAAGTCGGGTTATTATTTTACATCATTCTTGTCCTTTGTAATTGTTCCAATACCTTATTAAAGAGCGTAAGAGATTCAGTACCACTTAATTGATTCCAAGGGGTCAAGAGAGATGCTGTCTCTCCTAAACAGATTCATTTAAATCCCACTTATTCATGTGTCCTTTGATCTGGAGCCGCCACCAATTACAGAATTTGTATTGAAATTTGAAGAAAATAGCAAAAAAAAATAGCAGAAAAAATGTTGAATTATATATTTGACTCAAATAATATCTTGTAAATTATTTGATCTGCATGAATAAAAGCTATCTGTTTTAATCTTGTGTTTGATAATGTTACAAAAATGATGGATGAGCTGGTAGTCTATGGTCAAGTCTGCCTCCCAACCTAGAGACTGTGTGTTTGAGTCCTATTGACATGACAAGTTTGTTTCCTCATATGACACCTGTCAGTTCTAGGAATAAGACTTAAGCTCTTAGCTTTATTCACTTCATTATCTCTTTCTTCTTTAGTAAAAATAACTTAATTTACAGAAGGAGAAGTTTCTGGTGAGGATGATGATATTAATGTTACTGTTGCAAGTCAAGATGGGGAATTCCAGCTTAGAATGTGGCCACCTGTTGCCAGTGAAAATAAAATTCATGTCACAGGTATACATATTTGAATTTCTGTTTATGTTCAACCAAATACTTTTAGATGTCTCCTTCATGACATTATTTTTTGCTAATCTTAAATAAAAAAAGTATGTATCCATAGTCAAACACAGGTAAATTTGGTAAATAAAGTATATTTATTTATTTTATTTATTTTTACCAAGGTGACATTGATGTATAAACGAAAAAAAATTGCATTATAAACAATATCTGTTTACCATGTTTTTGGACAAATTTTACACGGAAGTGATTTGTGTTTTAGGTGTATCTTCTGAAAATGATTCTATTCATGATTAACATTAAATATTTTAGAAGGCACTGAAAAACCAACGTCGAACATTTGGCCCCCACCACAGGCAAAAGATTACATGAAATCTGTGAAAGACCTACCATCTAATATCAGAATGATTGTACACAAACAGACAGAAACACAAGAAGATGATGATAAAGCTACACAACCAAGTACTGAAATAGAGAGTTCTAGGACAGAACAGGAACTAAAAACTTATCCTGTACATCAAAGTGATTTTGAGCGTGCAACAGGACTTGTGGAAGATTCTAAATCACAAGGAGCTGGTGGCCAATTTAAACTTGTGTCTGCAGGAAAGCTAGATGACAATGTAGGGGCTCTACAATTAGAACATAGTAAGGCATTTGTCTTTATTTTGTACATGTTTTCTTTGTTGAGAAAAATAAAGATATAGATGTATACCTCTATATGTAAAGTTTTTAATTTTATTCTGTTTACTTATGATAAACATTAAGGTAGACACTAGATCACTAGATTTCTTCATGACTATCTGGTTTACACCATATTGCTCATGATTGTGAAGCTAATATCGCATTACCTCGTGCCATAACACCACATTTCCTCATGCTTACACCACATTTCTTTATGCTTACACCACATTTCCTAGCTTACACCACATTTCCTTATCCTGACACCAAATTTATTTATGCTTACACCACATTTCCTTATGCTTACACCACATTTCCTTATGCTTACACCACATTTCCTTATGCTTACACCACATTTCCTTATGCTTACACCACATTTCCTTGTACTTACACCACATTTCCTTATGCTGTCAGGCTTATATCACATTTCCTAATGCCTCCAAGGATAACATAGTATTTTCTCATAATGACTGTAAGACTACCACCATACTTTTTCATGAATGTAAGACTACTAAAACATTTTCATATGAATGTAAGACTTCCAAAATATTTTCATATGAATGTAAGACTTCCAAAATATTATCTCATGAATATAAGACTATCATCATATATACTCATGACTGTAATGCTTTAACCATTTTATCTCATGACTGACACTATGGCCATATTTTCTCCGGACAGTGAAGCTGGTACTTACTATTCACATTGTAGGATTCAACAGTGATTATTTAACGTAAATTCAGCCTTCATTACAAATAAGCCAAGATAGACTGAATTAGAACTTAATCATTATAAATAATTTCAAATTTATAACAGCTTTGTAATATGTTGGCAAAAGTCTTAACAATTTATAAAATTCTAACCCCTTCTGTTGGAGCTTAGACATGTCACATTTAGTAATGCCATATATAACAGCTTATTTTATGTCTTAACCAGTAACTGTTTCAGTGTGTAATGTGCAGGAGGGATGTGAATTTTATCACTGGTGGAACTTGAACTTTTCAGTTTTCATCTTCTGCACCTTTCAATAATGCAATGTTATAAATGTATATTACTATATATGAATTTAGAAAATACAGAGAGCTGGGTTACAGACAATTCAACAGGTGTTAAAGTAGATAACGTTCCAGAGATAAGTGGCAAAGAAGGGACTAACATTGATGATAGGGAGTTTAAAGGTCATTCATCTGACAAAAATAATTCAGCATTAGAGGATCAAGGCCAAGGTTATGGTAAGTGTGTAAGAATAATTAATGAGTTCTATTCTATATTCAATTGTAACATTCCCTTGTTACCCCAGGTAGGTGAGAGGGCTAGCAATAGAAATGAACCAATTTTTTACCTGCATTGTGTCCCCACATTACAGGGTCAATGTGATTGTTTTATTTGTAATAATGGGGAATATTTACTATTTGCAATATTATATGGAGTAATTTACAAAGGAATTTACAGTCTGACAGACAGTGTCTGAAATGGGGTGTTTGCTTGTCTGTATGACAGAGTCCCCACTATTTCCTAAGGAGTTGGAGGTCAAAAAATAATTGCCTGGCAGGTGCATGCCCAGGCATACCCACATACACACATGCATGCAATTGATCGGAAATTTAGAAAAGTAGAAAATGCTAAAAACACAATAAAAACATTTCCCTTACTGTGATGTACGTAAAGTTGTCTCAATAATTAGACAAAATTGAATGTCTAATACACTGATCCTTTATGTTAAAAGTTATTTCAAAATTTTTCGAGCTATGAGAGGGGACAACCCTCCTATACTTTTCCCCATCACAAGAACATGTACCCACTACTTTGCCCAGCAACATGCAATATTATTGCTGTATTTAATAAAATTGTTGTGCAATTTGTATATGGATCAAATTTTATTCAAAGGGAAGGCATATTCTATTAAATTTCATGCTTTAACATATCAATTGTAAAGATGACCTGTCAGTTGAGATGACCAGTCCTAGTCTCTTCATGGAAACATGGATTCAAGCCCACCTGTGATCACAGCTATGTTTCTTCATATGGCACAGTTACCGATACATTTCAGACATTGGACTCTAAAGTGGTCAACTTTTACTCTAATCTAAAGTAAACATTTTAAGAAGACCCTTTCTTTATTATTTTCTAGCACATGTGGGTTTTACAATAAATGGTATGATTTCAGGGCATAGACGTGGTGGTGATTCTGGTCATCATAGAAGAAAAGGACAGCATGCCTTCACTAGAGGACAACCTATTATTAAAGGTAAGCATGTAAAATAATTGTTAGAAATAATGTCTTCAGATAAACCTGATAATATTAACATAGATTAATATTCATGGTTATACATGTAGTAAAATAGTGCAAAATACATCAGGGGTGCAGAAATCCAAACTCGTGTGGCTCGAGGTCATTTGCCAGTTGACAAGTTTACTGCTGTAGTACTTGTCTGTTAAATATACACTTTCATGTACCAGTCATTTCACCTCTGGATGAACTCTAGCTATAAACAACAGCTATTGGAAAGCAAGCTCCCTGTATTGGTGCAGCAGCTCAGTGTTAGGGTTATTATTGTTATGCACATTTAGTTGTAATTGTTAAGTTGCTTTGGCTCAAATTACACTGTTCCTATAGATGTTGGTAGTTACACAGGCTATTAAATAATAAAGAAAATAAGGATCCAACTGACTGACAAATACATGTCATTGTCATCAATTGTAAATTTTTAATATTTTCTGCTATATTGCATAAGGAAATAAAGGCTGTGTGATATTTAATCAAAAGGCATGACAAACACAATGTGTCAGCCATTTTGAAGACATGACATCATTAATATTGCAGTAAATGGTGCTGTACTATTATAATACCCCTACTATTTGCCATGTTTGTGGTATCAGGTTTTTATGTAGGGGAATGTGTCAAAATTTTGATTAAAAAGACATTCAATTGTAATCTCTCAATAATTTTTTTAAATAATATGTCAAACATTTTTTTATTTTTCAAACGAGCATGTAATAATTTCTGTTCAACTGGAAAAATTAAGATTCCCTTGTATATTTCCTTTAGAATTTGCATTGAAACTAAAATATTGTAGCTGATAAACAAACTTCCTGAATCATGATGATCCTATTTGGACATTAATGGAAACATATTACTTTAATTTTCAACATTAAAGTAACATTAAGTTTTGTGTTATATTATATAGGTGATCCTATTTGGACATTTATTGCGACAGATATAAAGTTTTGTGCCTTATTTTATAGGTGATCCTATTTGGACATTTATGGCGACAGATATAAAGTTTTGTGCTATATTTTATAGGTGATCCTATTTGGACATTTATGGCGACAGATATAAAGTTTTGTGCTATATTTTATAGGTGATCCTATTTGGACATTTATGGCGACAGATATAAAGTTTTGTGCTATATTTTATAGGTGATCCTATTTGGACATTTATGGGGACAGATATAAAGTTTTGTGCTTTATTTTATAGGTGATCCTATTTGGACATTTATTGCGACAGATATAAAGTTTTGTGCCTTATTTTATAGGTGATCCTATTTTGACATTTATGGCGACAGATATAAAGTTTTGTGCCATATTTTATAGGTGATCCTATTTGGACATTTATGGCGACAGATATAAAGTTTTGTGCTATATTTTATAGGTGATCCTATTTGGACATTTATGGCGACAGATATAAAGTTTTGTTCTATATTTTATAGGTGATCCATATGGACATTTATGGCGACAGATATAAAGTTTTGGGTTATATTTTATACATGATCCTATTTGGACATTTATGGCAACAGATATAAAGTTTTGTGTTATATTTTATAGGTGATCCTATTTGGACATTTATGGCGACAGATATAAAGTTTTGTGCCTTATTTTATGGCGACAGATATAAAGTTTTGTGCTATATTTTATAGGTGATCCTTTTTGGACATTTATGGCGACAGATATAAAGTTTTGTGCTATATTTTATAGGTGATCCTATTTGGACATTTATGGCGACAGATATAAAGTTTTGTGCTATATTTTATAGGTGATCCTATTTGGACATTTATTGCGACAGATATAAAGTTTTGTGCCTTATTTTATAGGTGATCCTATTTTGACATTTATGGCGACAGATATAAAGTTTTGTGCTATATTTTATAGGTGATCCTATTTGGACATTTATGGTGACAGATATAAAGTTTTGTGCTATATTTAATAGGTGATCCTATTTGGACATTTATGGCGACAGATATAAAGTTTTGTGCTATATTTTATAGGTGATCCTATTTTGACTTATGGCGACAGATATAAAGTTTTGTGCTATATTTTATAGGTGATCCTATTTGGACATTTATGTCGACAGATATAAAGTTTTGTGCTATATTTTATAGGTGATCCTTTTTGGACATTTATGGCGACAGATATAAAGTTTTGTGCTATATTTTATAGGTGATCCTATTTGGACATTTATGGCAACAGATATAAAGTTTTGTGCCTTATTTTTTGGCGACAGATATAAAGTTTTGTGCTATATTTTATAGGTGATCCTATTTGGACATTTATGGCGACAGATATAAAGTTTTGTGCTATATTTTATAGGTGATCCTATTTGGACATTTATGGCGACAGATATAAAGTTTTGTGCTATATTTTATAGGTGATCCTATTTGGACATTTATGGCGACAGATATAAAGTTTTGTGCTATATTTTATAGGTGATCCTATTTGGACATTTATGGCGACAGATATAAAGTTTTGTGCTATATTTTATAGGTGATCCTATTTGGACATTTATGGCGACAGATATAAAGATTTGTGCTATATTTTATAGGTGATCCTATTTGGACATTTATGTCGACAGATATAAAGTTTTGTGCCTTATTTTATAGGTGATCCTTTTTGGACATTTATGGCGACAGATATAAAGTTTTGTGCTATATTTTATAGGTGATCCTATTTGGACATTTATGGCGACAGATATAAAGTTTTGTGCTATATTTTATAGGTGATCCTATTTGGACATTTATGATGACACATAAAAAGTTTTGTGTTATATTTATAGGTGATCCTATTTGGACATTTATGGCAACAGATTATTTGTACGAGGATCTAGGCACTGGTAAAGACCTTGGTAATATTGATAGTCTTACATTATGTGATGATGCAGCTGGTCCAGAGATAGGGGAATGGGGAGAGGCTCTGGTTGCCCAATATCTTGAAAGACAAAAACAGCTTGGTAAAATTCTTGATTACTTCTGGAAGAATAGTGAAGAAGAAACAGGATGTCCATTTGATTTTGAAATCCAACTTTCAGGAAACAGTGGTATCTTGTCTAACTATATTGAGGTTAAAAGTACTGTCAGTGAGGATAAAGAAGTATTTGAGATATCCATGCAGCAGATTCAGTTTGCAGAGCATGAGAAAGAGAAGTTTCATATATACCGAGTGTTTAATGCAGGAAATCCAGAACGTGTTAAATTAATACGTATTACAAACCTCGACATGAGGCTAGCAAAGAAACAAGTAAAACTTTGTATGCTCATATAAAAACAAGAAATTTCAAAGAGGAGAATAAAAAAATCTTGGTTTTTATGGACTGAGCTTGTTGCAAAAAGAGTTTTTTGATGATAATATAGAAAATTATAAGGAAGTCATTTTAAATTGTTATATAGTATTGAAATATGTTTGATGTAGTTCATGTTGTTTATAAGCAGTGTGAAAGTCATGTTATATAACACTAAACTGCTGATGTAAAAGCCATTAGTCAATTTCTTTAAAATAGAACTTTTTATTATTTAAAGAGCTTTACAAAGACACAACACACAGCCTTATTATACATGTATTAACTCAGCAATTTTTATTAACAAACATTCTGAGAGGACTACAAAATATAAAGTAAAAAAATCAAAATATAAGTGGGTTATAGTAACATCATATTAACTTACTCAAAACTTTAAAATAATACTCAGTTTTTTTTCTAAATCAAGTTGTCAATAGTTTACTAATGTAAAATTTATGAAACATTAGTGAAATAAAGTATGACTTAAGATACTAGTGAAATACCAATAAATACATATAGCTGAAAATTAAAGTCATCCAAAACGATAGATGTCAAGCATGGGCTTCTGTCCATTTAGGATCAAGTTTTAACTGGTATTCTGTGATGTCATTGCCTTTTGTGATTTGTACATTACATTGTATGTAATTGTATTTAAAAGAAAGTTATTGATTAACATTATATAAATAAAGCATACTGAACTTCTTTTCTATTTTAACACTAATACAGCTGTGCCATGGAAATGTATGCCATTGTTTTTGTTTTAGTTCATTTTTGTGAGAATTTATGCTCAAAACTGTTTGTTTGAATCTTTACCATAAGTTCAAATTTGGCTTGCCATAGCATTTGTTTTATATTAGATATTTTGAATTGTTTGAGGAGAAATATTGTTTTTACCCTGTGTGTGTCTGACTGCTCATCTGAATTTCACAAGATTGTTTTATCATAATGCCTTTGATGTTTGTATTATAATAATGCTCTATTTGTCGTTGTTAATGTAAAGAAATTCCTCCACCAAGTTGAGAAGTTGCCATATGACCTATACTGTGCAATGTAAAACATAACAAAAAAAAATCATTTTTGAAAGAATTTAATATTAAAACAGCTGTCATTTTGTCAAAGATAAATGTCACTATGTCCTTATTCAGCTCAGTGTAGTCTGTGGTTTATTCTACCTACATCAATCAATGTGGATATTGAGTAATAAGGCTCCCACGGTTACGCGTTAAAACGGAGTCGTTTCGATTTTCAGTCGAAAACGTTTACGGTAATGTTTACCGTTTAATCGAAATGACTATATTGTCTTACAAAATATCTAAATCATTGCCAGTAATCATGAATTCTATCAATTGTAATTGGTTTTATTCCAAAGTAAAATACGGAAAATAGGTCTTTACAACCTTCACACAGCATTACTGTGCACTAATCGTGACATAATACATTGGTAAAGTTGATTTTGCTTTGATCTTTCAAAAGAGAGAAATGATGATACAATGCAGTAAATGTGTGTGGACTCAATCGTGATGAGCCCTGAACATTAAATTATTTGTAAATAAAAAGTAAGTCATCATTTGAGACTTGAATACATGGTGTAGTACATCGTCGGATACCCACGATTGATAAACCTGTCACACAACATGCAATCAACCGTGGCTAAAATGAATCGATTTAGGTCGATATACAGCAACAGGTGCGTAAAATATCTACCAATGACATTGCGTTTAACAAATCTATATTCTTCAACAGCGGAGGTAAAAAACAATAAGAAACAAAATGGCAGCGCCCACGGTTAAAAACTGTTGTACGTGTCTTGCTAAAATCAATGGCAAAAACTATCGCCAAATCAGTTCTTACTTTCTTGCTGGAAATCGTTTATTTTTTCGATGTTGAACTTTTCACGTCGTCTATGGTTGTCGCAATATTGTCTGTAATGCCGAACGTCGTACAGAACGAGCATTTTGATTGGTTTAAATCGCCTCATGAAATCGTGAGGGAGCCAATGAAATAGCTGCCTTTGACACACCTCTAATCGACTGAATATCGGCAAAAAATCCCACAGCTGATGAATGTTAATGGTTCGGCCGTGGGTATCCGATGATGGGTGTAGTATAGTACAAAGAAGTACCACCGTTTAAACGGTATCGTTTCGGTTCTGAGCAATCGTGTAAACGTTTACAAAAAATTGTAAATGTGGGAGCCTTATTGAGTAAATGAATCCCCATGGTTTTTTTGCTGTCTGCATACAGTTAGTCTTAAATGTATCAGTCAGCAGACCAACAGTGTGTGAATTGTTTGGCCACCATATTGTTTAGGCGCCAAAACCGTTTACAACTACTATGGACTTCGTGTCAACAGCTTTCAAAATTGGTTTACACATATTTTTTTTTTGCCAAAGGTCATGGCAACCCTAATTTTGTTTGCCAAGTTTATCTGTCACTTACTAAAGTATAATTTGACTGACAGCTCCTGTCTGTTACCTTATTTTGTGATATTTTGTTAGCTTCATTATATACATGTCCCCTTTATTTCTCCAGAGTTACAACATTGCAGGCATGAGGGGTGCCTTTAATTACACAAAAATCGTATTGTTCATGACATGTCATATTTAGTCTTATCTAACATTGTAATCTTTCTGTCAAATTTCCCATCTAGTGTGCTTATATATCAACAAAAATTTTTATTGAGGAATGTGGACCACGTTTTATAAAAATTTGTCACATTTATTTTGTATAAGTATATTGTGTACATGTATATATTTGTCTCTATATAAACATCAGTATTACAATGTGAACGTTTAGTCCTGTTTCCCTTGTCAGATAAAGTATTTGTGTGAAGAGAGATTGTTATAATTGATAACATGTAGTTTTTAAAAGATATTGGTTCATTATCATTCATTTTAAAGTGGATTGGTTGACAAAGGGCACATTTTACAGAAGTATTTTAAATATTGATAAAAACAATAGAAATGTATCAGTTCATTATTCCTATTAAAAATTTCTTGAAAAGAAAATTAATTAGAGTTCAAGTTATTAAGCATAAACCTTAAATAATGAATGATATTTTGTTGTAGCACAATTTATTGTCTGCTTTATATAGATATGTCCTATATGTACCTCACACTAGCCTGGGATTCAGGTGTTGATATTTTTTTATTTATTCATAACTTACGCGATATTTCATACTCGATCGTCATAGATAACACAACATCTCTGGTTTTGATAGTATCAACGCCTGGGGAAACCTGAGGGGTTTCCCATGTAATTATCGACTAATGATAATCCTATTAATAGACCGATTAGCACGTGACCAACAAATAACATGACTAAATCGAAATCGAGGGGAAGATGATAAATGTTGAAAATTTGACGCCATTTACCATTATAAATTGAGTCCAGCACAATTATCTGATGCTCACACACTTTATCTACTTTAACTAATCACACCTGTTGATCAGATTCACTTATCATGCAATAAACTTTGTCAACGAGTGTTAGTTTTTAATCGGAAATGGTGTTTTGAAAGCGAGGCTCCGTAACTGTTCGTTGAGCTTCGGGTCACTTCGTGGAAATTCCGTTTCTATTTTTAGAAACTAGTTTGTTGTTGCATGAGTTATCGTTCTTTAATAACACCCGTAATTTTCGGGGTGTATACCAGGTGGCGCTTCGATCGAAAATTGTATTTCCCCAGGCTGTCGATTTGCCGAACAGAAGCACATAAAAAATCGACAGACTGGAACCCAGGCTAACCTCACACTAACCAAGTATATGCATATAAAATTCCTTGTTGGTTTATTTGATACTTAATATTATCAACATGATTATTTTTGGAATTACATACCTTCTATTGTGGACCAATTTGCTTTAATATTTGATTATTGTTGAAACAATTTTGTATTGTTCCAGCATGCACTTATGTTGTTTTTTGTTGTTGTTTTTTTGCGACGGACGCGCCCTCAGGCGCGTTCAGAGCTAAGTCATCTAGACATGGGATTTCGTTGGCTACACTCGCGCAATGTGTCCTAAACCGATTAACAGCCCAAGAAATAGTACATGAATTTGATCATTCAAAACTCCCATACTCTGTCTGGATATCTTAATGTCTTCCATATTTAGCCTTTTCAATTTCAAATTAAGTTATCAAGGTTAAAATATGAACGTATATTATTGATAAAAACGTTGTAGTCCCGTAGTATTATTGCGCAATATGCAAATTACTGCTGAAACGATTTACCGCTGTCGAAAAAGTAGGACAGCAAATTATACTACAATAAAGGTGTAACTTCTGAGTTCCAAGACATTATTAGTAGGAAATAAATATTTCTACATTATACAAAACATTATTATTAACAAACCAAAAGTTTTTCGTGACTCTAGGATAACTCGCGCATTAATAAAAGAAGAACTATTTTCGTGACTCATACCGCAGATTTAGCTGAATATTCAGCAGTTATTAATATATTAGATTCAGTACAATAGTTAGTATAAATATCTATTTTTGAAAATGCATGTAAGAAGAGAGTTTTTCAACACTTTACTGCCATGTAGTCTTTCATGGTAAGGAAGTTATAATATCAGTTCTACTTCCGATTCTTGTGGTTTGTTTACATATTTTTCTAGGTCATGATATGAATTAACCTTCGCTATTCTAAAAATAGAATTTGCTTCACCTGTTCTGATTTTTGGACAGGCGAGTAGGGAGTACACATTATACATGTAATTAATAAACCAGCGGATTACATGCAATACTTTTAGAAATTCTATACAATTGTAAGAAGCAAACAAGTTGAAAATGGAATTTAGTGTGAAATTGAAAAGGACAACTAAACACTGTAGTGCTTAAGTGACATTTAAATTAAAATAAAAACGATGTGCTCTGGCCTCTACATCTTTACCTTGTAAATAAAAAGAAAATCTAAAAAATACACTATTAATTGCTGATGATTTTAACAATTTTTTTTTTTAATGAGACATATGTTATCCAAGAGAAATAAAAATACAAATGACTTATATTTTATTGTCTATATGCCCACTATGATATAACACGAAGCAATTCTAAATAGCATTCTCAAATGTATAATGTATTATGTTTGAAGTTTATTTGCCTGGATTTATTTTAGAAATATTTCGTTGACAGTTTTTTTTCTATTTACATATCATTTCTTAGAATAAATCGATAGAGACACTGATTTACAAGTTTGACCAGAGTTTTTAGGCATGAATTTCATTCTGTATTTAATTGCTTGAAAGTAGAAAATCTGAATTATATCAGTTTGGAACACAAAATATATTGCTCTACAAATCTCGAACTTGTATGGAACAAATTTTCTCTGTTATATATTTTGTGTTTTGTTTTTGTTTAAAAGAAGCCTTAATGTCTCTCCGGTTGCATGTCCGTCTCATTCAGTGCTGCAGCACTTTGATTTTGGTTTATGTTTAATGCTCGGTAGATCTCGCTAGCATTTTTGTTTAAATTTACATTTTCATAAATAAATGAATGTTAATGAACGAAGTTTTGTTGATTTTTAGCCCAATATTTTCTTTCTAGTTTTAACTCTTTTAAGTCATGTTGAAAGTTGCCATCTGAAACCTAAATTTTATTAACTTGTTTTTTTTAAAAAAAAGGGTTAGTAATGCCCCCGTTGGTTTTTATTAAAAGTACCCCAAGGGCTCAAAAAATTTTAAAGCATAAATAAAAATTTTGGAATGTTGTTTATCTAAAAGGTTTTGTAAAAAGTGTTTTTTTTTTTAAAAGTGTTTTTTTTTTTTTCCCCCTTTTATTTAATTTAAATGTAAAATTTTCCCCTTTTAAAATTAAAGAAAAATGATAGAATGTTAAGAGGTATCATCATCACACTTGGAATACTTGTTGTAAAACAAGGGTATTATACTGAAAGCTTTAAATTTGCATTTACACCCATTTTAGCTTGTTCTCAAAGAAAACAAATGAGGTATTTCTACTGTCATGTTGCCCTTGTGGTTGCTGTAGAGAAAAGTTAACATGGACCATTTTAGCTTGACTATACGAAGAATATGGAGAGCTATTGAAGTCGCCCTGGCGTCCGCGTCTGCGTTGGTTAAAGTTTTTTGTAAAGTCAAATATCTCAATTATTGCTTGAGATATTCAATTGAAACTTACAATACTTATTAATAGTAACATTGTACAACATATTGACAATTTGGATAACTCTGCCTACAATATTTACAGAATTATTCCCCTTTTTAACTTAGAAATTTTGGTTAAAGTTTTTTTAGAGTCAAATATATCAATTATTGCTTGAGATATTCAATTGAAACTTACAATACTTATTTATAGTAACAATATACATCAGTTTGCAAAGTTGCATA